CTCAGCTAATCCGCCTCTTTAGCGTCACGTCACCTCAGCTAATCCGCCTCTTTAGCGCCACGTCACCTCAGCTAATCCGCCTCTTTAGCGTCACGTCACCTCAGCTAATCCGCCTCTTTAGCGTCACGCCACCTCAGCTAATCCGCCTCTTCAGCGTCACGCCACCTCAGCTAATCCGCCTCTTTAGCGCCACGTCACCTCAGCTAATCCGCCTCTTTAGCGTCACGTCACCTCAGCTAATCCGCCTCTTTAGCGTCACGTCACCTCAGCTAATCCGCCTCTTTAGCGTCACGTCACCTCAGCTAATCCGCCTCTTTAGCGCCACGCCACCTCAGCTAATCCGCCTCTTTAGCGTCACGTCACCTCAGCTAATCCGCCTCTTTAGCGTCACGTCACCTCAGCTAATCCGCCTCTTTAGCGTCACGTCACCTCAGCTAGTCCGCCTCTTTAGCGTCACGCCACCTCAGCTAATCCGCCTCTTCAGCGTCACGCCACCTCAGCTAATCCGCCTCTTTAGCGTCACGTCACCTCAGCTAATCCGCCTCTTTAGCGCCACGTCACCTCAGCTAATCCGCCTCTTTAGCGTCACGTCACCTCAGCTAATCCGCCTCTTTAGCGTCACGTCACCTCAGCTAGTCCGCCTCTTTAGCGTCACGTCACCTCAGCTAATCGCCTCTTTAGCGTCACGTCACCTCAGCTAATCCGCCTCTTTAGCGCCACGTCACCTCAGCTAATCCGCCTCTTTAGCGTCATGTCACCTCAGCTAATCCGCCTCTTTAGCGTCACGTCACCTCAGCTAATCACTTCACCTCAGCTAATCCGCCTCTTTAGCGTCACGTCACCTCAGCTAATCCGCCTCTTTAGCGTCACGTCACCTCAGCTAATCCGCCTCTTTAGCGTCACGTCACCTCAGCTAGTCCGCCTCTTTAGCGTCACATCACCTCAGCTAGTCCGCCTCTTTAGCGTCACGTCACCTCAGCTAGTCCGCCTCTTTAGCGTCACGTCACCTCAGCTAATCCGCCTTTTTAGCGTCACGTCACCTCAGCTAATCCGCCTCTTTAGCGTCACGTCACCTCAGCTAATCCGCCTCTTTAGCGTCACGTCACCTCAGCTAGTCCGCCTCTTTAGCGTCACATCACCTCAGCTAATCCGCCTCTTTAGCGTCACGTCACCTCAGCTAATCCGCCTCTTCAGCGTCACCTCAGCTAATCCGCCTCTTCAGCGTCACGTCACCTCAGCTAGTCCGCCTCTTTAGCGTCACGTCACCTCAGCTAATCCGCCTCTTTAGCGTCACGTCACCTCAGCTAGTCCGCCTCTTTAGCGTCACATCACCTCAGCTAATCCGCCTCTTTAGCGTCACGTCACCTCAGCTAATCCGCCTCTTCAGCGTCACGCCACCTCAGCTAATCCGCCTCTTTAGCGTCACTTCACCTCAGCTAATCCGCCTCTTTAGCGTCACGTCACCTCAGCTAGTCCGCCTCTTTAGCGTCACATCACCTCAGCTAATCCGCCTCTTTAGCGTCACGTCACCTCAGCTAATCCGCCTCTTTAGCGTCACGTCACCTCAGCTAATCCGCCTCTTTAGCGCCACGTCACCTCAGCTAATCCGCCTCTTTAGCGTCACGTCACCTCAGCTAATCCGCCTCTTTAGCGTCACGTCACCTCAGCTAATCCGCCTCTTTAGCGTCACGTCACCTCAGCTAATCCGCCTCTTTAGCGTCACGTCACCTCAGCTAATCCGCCTCTTTAGCGTCACGTCACCTCAGCTAGTCCGCCTCTTTAGCGTCACATCACCTCAGCTAATCCGCCTCTTTAGCGCCACGTCACCTCAGCTAATCCGCATCGCTGCCCATTTTCGTTTTTCCGGGAGTGACGCGCCGCCAAGATGGCGACGGCCGGCTCCGGCCCACTTTGGGCTTCAAAAATGCTCTTCAGAAACCTATGGGTGACGTCACGCACACCACATCAATATTAAATATATATTATGTTAATATTGCAACAGGATGTAAACATATTCTTTTCAGCTGTAAAGTTTTAACATGGGGTGTTTATGAGATTGACTCTCTTTTTGGAGCCTGTCTCTAGTGGCCAGTCAATGTATTGCAGTTTAGGGGCCCTATCATACACCCGACGCTAGTTTTGACGCAGTTTTCATTTTCACTTCCTATAGATAAATAGGCTGCGCCATTGGCCAACTGAAACCTGGTCTAAAGTCAATGGCACAGTATTGTCTTTGTTATTTAAAGAGCGCCTTAGTAATATGTGCCTATAGGCGGGTCCACAACGCGTGTGCACTCTGCTTATTACACACACAGGGAACTGATTGCGCACAAATATTAAAAATAAAATAAAAGGATAACAATGTAAAAGATTAATATTGTGTATATAAAGATATGGTGGAATCCGGCTTGTCCCGTAGATGATCTGCACTCTTTAACCTCGAGCTCGAGCAGATCCGTTTCCTCTCGGGAGAAGCGTTCAGTCTATCCTCTTGCAAATTCCTCCATGTAAATAGCGAATCCGCCATGGCGTGAGCACAACTGGCTTTTAAAGGGAATGGGAGATTAGACTCTATTGCACGTTACGCCCAAAACACACCCATTACTCATTAAGAGAATAGGGACGACCCTTTTAGACCATGCACCAGGAGCATTGACCATTTGTCCTGTCGTTAAACTAGCAAAAGTGGATTCGCACACGCCCTAAGTGCACTTGTGCCGTGCGCTTTAGACTATGCGCTTACATCGTTAAAATAAGGGCCCTAAGCCACTTCAGGGCTTCAAGAGATTCAAGAGGATTCAAGAGAAGGAGAGACCGGAAGGAAAACACTGGTTCGGTGACCGGTAACTGTGCCTTTAGACGTCCTGTTGCTGCCTGATGGCCTCACTGTACACTTGATTAACTGAAACAAACCCATCCTTCTTTCTCTAGGGACTGCTTACTGTGTTCGCGTTTCGACGCTACCGCCAAGGGTTGGCCGAAGTCGGACTCGGCTACAACGACCCCGTCAGTGACCACACGTCCCCGTACCCCTCCGCCTATGCCGGAGCTCCAGAGGGTTACCAGCAGTCCCCGTTCGCCCCCGCCTCCGCGGGAGAGAGCGCCTATCAGCCGCCAGCGTACTGAGGGCATTTTAACACGTCTCAAAGGCTCACCTGTGTGGACGCATTCACGCGCTCCGCACCGTTTTTTCCTTTTCCATAAGAGTTTAAATTGTGACCTGGGATTGACACTTGGTGTGCTTTGCAAGTGTGTATTTTCATGTTTGAAAAAGTTATTTATTTTTTATGTAGTTTGGATGCGAATGCTAAACTTAACCCTGAGTGCAAACATTCTTTGCACTTTTTTTTTTTCTCCCCCAAATTCGATTCTACACCAGCTGCCATTTTTACATCAATTAAACATAAAGTTGCTTAATACACAATCACATAATCTTTACCATAACTCCTTAAAGGTATGTTTGTTTCCATACCGCATTTAAACAACTGAAAGTGAACAGACTCTGTGTGCCAAAATGCATTACCACAATGAAGTAATTCCTTAAAAACACAGCGTTGCCATACATCACATTTGTTGAAAAGTATGCACTAAATCTATTGCCAAATGTCTTCATTAACTGAGGCTGGAATAGATAACTGATGAATAGTTAGATTGATGTTGTGAGGTAGGAAATGATAAACTACTGTAAACACGTGCTTTAATTTTTATTTGTGACAGACTATAGGCTTTGTGTGGATAAGCCTTATTTTTGTAAACTGAGTTTTGAAGTGTTAAACAATCATAAAATGTAATATTGTTGAGGACTTCTAGCAGTTTGCCTTCAAAATGTGCTCTTTATGTCAGGCCAAATTCACTGCAAGATGTCTACCTCTTCCTATTGAAATTGTGCCTTGTTTTGAAATTAATATCTAGGAATTGAAATTTGTTTCAACATTGACTGTTTTAGAACGAGTTTTTTTTTTTTTACGGTTCTCTTCATTTTCCTAAAATTAACAAAGAAAAACTAGAATTTATCTAAGTTGACCACTAAATCGAAACGTTTTTCAATCTCTCTGTGTTTTGCTTAAGGTAGTGACGTTTCCTTTATTTTATTTTCACAGTTCTGTCATAGCACATAGTAATTTTGTCTTTCTGTTGATTTTCTTTGCAACTGTTATTGTAACAGCAGTTATTGCAACACTCTCTCTCTTTTTTTGTAAGGAAATGCTGTGCAATAAACAGTTGATTCTTTCTGTTAACAAATATCAAAGACTTGAGTTGAAATGACGCACTTATACACTATATGCACCACGTACTCAACTGTGTAGTGTATCAATTTTAAGTTTTATTTTGTCTTTCAATATTGGAGTCTGGTGCCCCTCCCCGTTAAACGTATATCTAAATATGTTAATATTTAAAATGTAAATGCACTTTGCTCTTAAGTGGGGCATTTCCCCTCATAATACCCTACAACGTATTGCATGTCTGTAAAATTACTGTTAAAAAAATGAAACTTGTGCATTAATATTTTTATGTTAAGCCTAAAGTTTCACAACTAAAATCTAAATATATAATTAATTATTAAATGCTAGTATGCATTGATCAGAGAGGTCTCAATCTCAAACAAACTACTCTATTAGCTATCCAAGGTTAGCATGTTCAAGTTATTATAGCCCCTGCTGGTAGATGCCTTGAGTTGCATTATTATAACAATGAATTTAGTGGAGAAATTAAATGCATATTTCTCCACAAAATTCATGACAATAAATTCAGGTTAATAATACTGTAGTTGTGATTAAAGAAAGCCATACACAGTTTGTAATGAGGGTGTGATGAACTTTTTATTACACTCCTGGCACCTTTTTTGTGCACTTTTTCTTATTTTACTGATTACATAATTCGACGTGTGTCTTAAAGCATTGCTATAAATGCAAATGTATCGTTCTATTTCAAGCATTTATGCGTAAAATGTACGCAAGTATGAGCGGAAAGAACTGGTTCGAGGCGAGCGCGCCCCCGAATGCGGAAGTGCACGGGTCGCGCGCACTGCTGAATGGACCCGTGAGGAACCAGAGTTCACGAGTCGCGATTTAAACTGATCATCAAGTCCATTCACTGGTTCATTTCCATCCTTGTCTTCCACTCGACAGTAAGTAAAGTCCGCTTTCAAACACTTTCAGCTCTAGAGGACGACAACACTACTGTGTTCATGCAGAAGCTCGGTTTAAATCTAGACATTGCACTGTAATGTGGGCCAAGCAAACAGTGACTTTGTGAAATAAAATGCAAATTAATTAAAATAGAGAAATACCTTAACTGTAAATGACGTTTGAAAGCCATTCCTTTAAAGGCAATGTTTTCATATAAGATTCATATAATATGAATATGTGTGATAGCTGTAAATGTTGGGATAGCTCTTGTTAAATGTTTTTTATAACTACTTGTAGCGCATTTAGAACAGATATTTGACCGAACAGGTAAGTAAATATAATTGTATAATAATAATGTGTTTTATCTTTGTTTAATAAATGTCAGATTGATTCAGGAAGATAAGCAGGACCTCTGATTGGTCCAGCATTTTATGTTTACATCACGTGATTAAAGATTTTGGTTGTATTTTTGTACTATTAAATCTATAAATAGCTACTTGTTTGTATTTTTGTATTGTTAAATCCTTAAATAGATAGCTCACGGACACGGTACAAATCCTAGTCCTTGACTAGCTTTCATTCTTTAACTGATAAAACTGTATTTATTTGTGGTTTTATACGACGTTACTGCTGAATTATCCAAGAACTGTCTTAGTTGGAGAGAATCTAAACAAATAATGAAATGATAAATTAAAAATTACATGCTGCTGAATGTCTGGACTCTCCATTACATACATCTACACATCTTATTTTAAATTTTGCCACACAACCATAACACATAACCAAGAAACACTTAGAAATACAGGTAAAACAATGTATTTAAAACATTAAGAACATACAATTTGTGAGAAATAAACCGAACACATGCCATCTGATGCAGAGTTTATTGGCCGAGTTATATTTGATCTCTAAATAAATCGATTGCTATTTGTGGACAAAGACCAACATGAGAGTCACGGTCAGTCATCAAATAAAGGGAAACTAAATGCAATACAAATCAATATTTTGCAGTTTTGTTGAACCCTTATCTTTGTGATCAGATACGCAAAATGCGGTCATTGCCAAAGGTTTAGAAAAGCAAAGAGTGTTTTGAACTTGCCCAGTTTTGAACAAGAATTGATGACAATCCTGAGTTAATAATATCTGTAATTTTAACTACAGTTAGCCACAATTTTTTTTATGAAATAATTTAGAATATGAAGGGACACGTGATGTTATACAATACCATTCATTTGAACAATTATGCAGAGTAATAAAAAAAAAAGCTTCAATAGGTCATTTACAGCATTTCCTTTGTCCATGTATATTAAGAGAAGTCATTTTTTTAGACTTTCAGTTGTTAAATATTAACATTTCAGATAAACAACTTGTTAACAGACTAGATTCCTCAGGTATAGTCCTTTGTGGTCTGTATTGCTGGGGTGATGCACATTACAAACTTATAAATAAGACCAGGGCTGCTGCTAACAACTATTTTAAAGTGAGAATTGTGGCAAACTGACTAGCTGGTTTCACATCAGAGCTGTGGTGTATCCAGCTGCACCTGTTTTCATCCTGTTTGCCTACCGTCCGTTCGCCAAGCCACTCCTTACCTCCACGTCAACATTGCTCATTTCCTACGCAAAGTGTTTCCGTGGCCTCAGTGGATCCTGTCAGAGTTTGACAAGCTGGTGAGTGTCTGGTGCTTTGGGTCCAAAAAATGGTTGTGTCTTAGGTAGGACTGTTTTAACACTTGCTTGTAATTTTTGCTATTAATGTAACCGTCTGTTTTTAAGCCTTTAAGCTTAGAAAAAATACCTTTTTGAGAATCTACCGGATTATATTTGTTGTTTAGAAACTTAAGAAGAGGAGTAATGCAGGAGAGATTGAAATAGCCATCTGTATATTTCTAACCTTTGCTCCTGTTTGCGTCAAAGAATAAAGTGGCTAAGACTGATCGTTAAAGGAAGAAACAAGGTTGCTAAACGGGTTTGTCACAGAGGAGGGGAAAGGGGATTAAAAACTAAAACTAAACACGAGTTTCTTGTTTATGCAGTAGTATTATTCAGTAACGTGATGTAGTTGAGTGTGACGGAAAAAGAGGCGAGGGTCTCTACAAAATGCCTGTTAAGTAATGTGCTTCCATGGAGATCAGGATCTTGCATCAGCCTGAAGGGGTTTATTCTGTGATAACAATCGGCTGGATGTACATCATCCCGCTTATTACACGGCTAATTGCCACATAGTAAATAATTAGACATCAAATATTGACCTTGAGTTGACATTTTTTTTATTAGCTCTTTAAACACAAAGCTTCTGTGGAGCAAGCAGTTGCTAGCAAGCGGCAAGTTCAAACGGACATTTAAGGGATCATAGCACTTATTACACAGCATTTCGTCACATAAATAATTATGGAGATAAGAGATTGATTTGAGATTAAACCGTTTTACAATCATACCTGTTTGTTATCGTATAATCCATTAGTGTACAAAACAATCGTCACAAAATGGCAGCGGCTGCATTTGTATGAAAGAGATTGAGTCTGCGATAACCGGATGACATAATTAATTAACTGTACAGAAAATATTGATTTGAGATTCAATGTTTTATTAGCTCACCAAACTCAAAACTTCCACGAGGAAAAATGTTTCCTGGCAAACGTGTAGCACAGATTTCAGTAACCCGGATGAGCCCGTGTTATCAGTTTTTACCAGGGAATAACATACCGCTGGATGGAGCGATTGACCAATCAGAATCAAGTATCCCACAGAGCCGTGTAATAATACCTGGTAATGGTACATGTGCGTCTTGACTGATCACTTGGTCCACCAAAAATGCAGCGTAACACCGGTTGAAAACAGGCTTTCTCTCTCACTCACTCGATGTCTGGGATATTGTACATATTTTGCGTGCCTAAAAGTCTGTATAAGTGTCATGTTACACTCTACTAACTAACACTAACTAGACTCTCTGTTTTTCTGTGTAGGTGTGGCTGCCGTCCCTCCCTAATGCCTGTTTCTCCAGGCTATGCACTTCTAAACCATAATGAGCCTATGAACTCTCTGCGCATCTCTGTTGGAGGGCTCCCAATGCTGGCTTCCATGACCAACACCACAGACCCCCGCTTCCGCATCAAATGGAGAGCCATTGTGGTGGTAGCATCAGCGCTAACCCTCGTCCTCCTCATCTACATGCAGCTTTTACCCTTTCACCCCCATCCTAGATATGGCTCAAAGTTAAACCATCATGAGGTGAGAGCGGAGGACCGCTACAATGACACGTACCCCCTCAGTCCACCAGAGCGCACGGCCCAGGGCACGCGCTACCGGATAGGGGTCATTGCCGACCTGGACACAAACTCGCTCAGTGACAAGAAGCTGACCTGGTTTAGCTACATGCTAAAGGGTCACCTCCTGGTGTCGGAGAGTGGAGATACGGTGGCTGTCGAATGGGATCAGGAAAGGGTGGTCTTGGAAAGCCACCTGGCAGAGAAGGGTCGGGGCATGGAGCTCTCCGAATTAGTGGTGTTTAATGGCAAACTGTACAGCGTGGATGATCGTACGGGCGTAGTATATAACATAGAAGGACTTAAGGCGGTGCCCTGGGTTATACTTCCAGATGGGGATGGCTCTGTTTCAAAAGGTTAGTGCTTCTATAGTACCTTTTTTTTTTTCCCACCAAAATGGTGCTGTTACCGGGACCGCTCTCAGATCCATCCAGAGTGTCCACGGACTTGAGAGCATTGAGAATGAATACTTTTAATCTGCCCCCAAACAAACATGCATTGCTGTTTATGTTTGACTCAAATTTTGAGGAAATAAATTAAAGTGCCCCTATTATGCTATTTTAAAGGTTCCAAATTTTATTTTGGAGTCTCCTACGATAGGTTTACATGCATTCAAGGTCTGATTGGTCAAATGACTAAGTCTGATGTGATCGGTCTACTCTGCTCTGATTGGTCAGATGACTCAATGATTTGTCTACTCTGATGTGATTGGTCAGATGACTCAATGATTGGTGTACTCTGCTCTGATTGGTCAGATGACTCAATGATTGGTGTGCTCTGCTCTGATTGGTCAGATGACTCAATGATTGGTGTACTCTGCTCTGATTGGTCAGATGACTCAATGATTGGTGTACTCTGCTCTGATTGGTCAGATGACTCAATGCTTGGTCTACTCTGCTCTGATTGGTCAGGTGACTCAATGATTGGTGTACTCTGCTCTGATTGGTCAGATGACTCAATGCTTGGTCTACTCTGCTCTGATTGGTCAGGTGACTCAATGATTGGTGTACTCTGCTCTGATTGGTCAGATGACTCAATGATTGGTCTACTCTGCTCTGATTGGTCAGATGACTCAATGATTTGTCTACTCTGATGTGATTGGTCAGATGACTCAATGATTGGTGTACTCTGCTCTGATTGGTTAGATGACTCAATGATTGGTGTGCTCTGCTCTGATTGGTCAGATGACTCAATGATTGGTGTACTCTGCTCTGATTGGTCAGATGACTCAATGATTGGTGTACTCTGCTCTGATTGGTCAGATGACTCAATGCTTGGTCTACTCTGCTCTGATTGGTCAGGTGACTCAATGATTGGTGTACTCTGCTCTGATTGGTCAGATGACTCAATGATTGGTCTACTCTGATCTGATTGGTCAGATGACTCAATGATTTGTCTACTCTGATGTGATTGGTCAGATGACTCAATGATTGGTGTACTCTGCTCTGATTGATCAGATGACTCAATGATTGGTCTACTCTGCTCTGATTGGTCAGATGACTCAATGATTGATCTACTCTGCTCTGATTGGTCAGATGACTCAATGATTTGTCTACTCTGATGTGATTGGTCAGATGACTCAATGATTGGTGTACTCTGCTCTGATTGGTCAGATGACTCAATGATTGGTGTACTCTGCTCTGATTGGTCAGATGACTCAATGATTGGTCTACTCTGCTCTGATTGGTCAGATGACTCAATGATTGGTGTACTCTGCTCTGATTGGTCAGATGACTCAATGATTGGTGTACTCTGCTCTGATTGGTCAGATGACTCAATGATTGATCTACTCTGCTCTGATTGGTCAGATGACTCAATGATTGGTCTACTCTGCTGTAATTGTTTAAACAGCCCAGTCTATTGTAATTGGTCAACCACTTACAGTGCATGTCAGCAACCAAACGGCCATTACCATATCTCAATTTCAGCTCTTCCTCAGCAATCGTACACACAGTGATACGAACAGTAACGAAGTTCCTTTTCATTTGGAAGTGCATCAAAGTGGGTTTACTTTCGCAGTGCAGAAAACAGCATCTTCTCGACATGTCAACAGCATGAAAGGGTTGGTCAAAGTAGACATTGTCTGCGGCCAGCCAGTGAAGAATATAATCACGGATGACTCCTTTCAGGCAGTTCAGAATCAGTTCTGTCTTTTAAATGAGACATTAACTTAATTTATTGTGCACTTTGATCTTTGAAACTTTGCAGACCTTAGACATACACAAATAACTAAATTACACACCGCATGAAAGGTACATTCCAAAAAAGCATAATCGGGGCATTTTAATTTACCACCCTTAAGCCACCATGAGCTGACTTTAGTGTAATGGTCAGAAACTACTGAAATATATGTAAAATAATTAATCAAATTCAAAGCAATCAATTTACATGATATCTGATTTCAGTTGTGATTTCTTCTTTGGCGTTCTCTTACACAGGGTTTAAGGCAGAGTGGCTTGCAGTGAAGGACGAGCATCTATATGTGGGGGGTTTGGGGAAGGAGTGGACCACCACCAATGGAGAGGTGCTGAATGACAATCCCGAGTGGGTGAAAGTGGTGGGAATCCACGGAGATGTACAGCACCACAACTGGGTTCCTAAGTACAACTCTCTCCGCAGAGCGGCAGGCATCAGTCCGCCCGGTGAGCGGCAGCCATTCACTCACATGCAGTGTGTGTTTGTAGCGAGCAGTCAATATTGTTATGCTTGGTATTTTAAAAGTGACATTGATCTCTCAAGAACTTCTGTGTTAAGAGCTCTTATAGTTTTAACCCTCTGGTGCTCTTTGCGTGTCGGTCAAAAATGACAAATTTTTGTCAATGAAATGAATGTACTATATTTTAGTTTGATAATGTTTTTTATTTAATGTTTTGTATTTTATGGGGAATTTTTATACTTAATTAAATTTACGCTGTTTTTATAATCCATTCATTCACTTTTTGAGCATAGACCTGAAAGTTAAATTTCCAACTTAAACTGTCGTAATTCTAGAATGCTTTAGAGCACAGACTTACGTATTCAAAGACGAAACTTGGCAGATTATTGCTGAGGTGAAAAAAGTTTTATAGAGTAACAGAATTTTACGTAAATTGTTATGAAAAATGCATAAAAATAACTTTTTCAATTTATATATTAAATGTATAATTCCAAAATCACGTTTTACTCTGCAAGAAAATCAAAGCCATAAATCTAAACAAGTTGTGTATCAAGCTTGATATCTTAAAAAATGAGCTTTCAGTAAGACTTTGTTTGGCTGCAGTACCATAAGTTTTCACTAGATAAAATTAGTCTCCCATTCATTTTCAATTCGCTCATTTTTGACCGCGAGGAGCACAAGTGTGACTATATTTTACAGGACCATTTAACCTGTTCGAATCATGTCCATGATTTTTTTGTGTGTTCACATAGCAAGTGCCAAAACCTTTACCAAGTTTCGTACCATTCTGATGAAAAAAACAACAACTTAAAATTAGCCAATTCCGATGAAGAAAAAAATTCAGAAAAATCTAAACTTAACATTTTTCATTAAAAAATGACCGAAGAGCACCAGAACCAAAACTTAATTTTCCACTTTCCGTTTCAAGTGGACAGGGAAGTGGCTTTTGGCCAATTTGGTTTTATTAGTCTTACTAAATATAATTGATTTAACAGCGTTCCTAATTTAATAAAAAAAAAATTACACTGGACTACACTCATTATTGTTGAATAATGAAAGTTAGAATATATTTGTATAGAACATCAGGCTTTAGTGTCTCCGAAAGATCAAGGAAAATGTAATCCCATGTGTTGTAAACCCTTTATTGTTCAGGAAAATAGGCTTAATAATTAAAAATTAATAATTTTAGGGTAAAATATGGCTTGTATGACACAGGCTTGAGAGATTCTCTTAGATTAAATGCTCCATGTCCAGTCCCTGCTCATTTCCTCTCTGTGGTCATCTCAGGGTACCTCATACACGAGTCTGCAGCCTGGAGCGACACATTGCAGCGCTGGTTCTTCTTGCCGCGGCGTGCTAGCAGCGAGCGCTACGACGAGACGGCAGATGAGCGTCGCGCCACCAACCTAATGCTCAGCTGCTCCCCAGACTTCCAGGACATTAAAGCGAGAAGCGTTGGGCCCCTGAACCCTACACATGGCTTTTCGTCCTTCAAGTTTGTCCCCAACACAGACGACCAGATTATTGTTGCCCTGAAGTCTGAGGAGGATGCTGGGAAAATTGCCTCTTACATTGTGGCATTCACCCTGGACGGCCGAATCTTGCTTCCTGAAACTAAGATTGGAGATGTGAAGTATGAAGGACTTGAATTCATTTAGTGTGAAAGGGATTGTCTGGAAGTAAATACGTGCCAAGGACTGGTAAATACCTTCGTCTAGATGATGGACATCTAGAAGTGGACATTGAGGTGTCTTTAGGTTGAAATAGTTCAATGACGTTTGAATAATGCCAACTGACTATTGGCAGACATTGCTTAAAATGTGGTTGTGGTGGCTATAGAGACTGAAGAAATTAGGACATGTTGACTCTTTAATTGTTTTGAGAGACTTATCTGAGCCTTCATCAAGAGTTTTTTATTTCTTTGGGGGTTTTTTCACTACCATTTTCAGCAATGACCTATAATGGTTTCACGCCAGTACTGTACTTACAGTGTAATGAATGTAACCGAATGAAGTGAAGTGATAGACTATAGTATATGGATAAAACAGTTTACTCTACACACATTATTGTGGTTGCCATGTGGTCTTGTGAATGTTTTTTTAATGATGCACTGTTTTTTTACTTTATTGATCAATCTTAAGAATTTCAGCTACTTTAAAAAACAAACTGATCCGTCACAAATGATGAATGTTATTTTTCATTAATGCGCCACAGCTATTTATTTGTTGTTGCTGTTTTTTCTTCTTCCTGAAAACAACAGATTGAAGGTTTTTAAGAAAGCTATTTTGTTTGATGTCAATAGGCTGTCCCAGTCAACATTTCCATGTGGGTTTTTGATGGGCTGTCACTTGAGCCCTGCATTGGCAACCCAAATGGGTCCCATGTGGAGCCGATGGACAAATTCATATGCCATGTATGTTAATCCATATGGGCACATGATGGGTCCATAGTGGGCTCTAAGAGGGGTCCATTTAGATGTTCATTAAATGGGCTCACTTGGGTCGCAAATGGGTGCTAATAATGGGGCCGAGGTGGGCTTCACACAAAACCCTTATGGGGGACACATGGGTGATCACACTGGACCCACAAATGGCTCCATTATGGTTTATAATGGAATCACAGTGGGTAAAAATTGTGCCCCATTTATTTTATTAATTAATTTTGAAGCACTGTCAATGAACAGTACAAATATAAAATTGAGTTAAATACCGGTATAGCTAAAACAAAAAAATAAAAATAGCTGCAGCGCACCTTTTCCAACTCTTGAACACCAGAGCAAAACCCCAGTGAACATTGAATTACCTCACCATCAGTGAGTTTAGCAGAGGCTTCTTTTAACCTTGCTTGGTAGTTTTGCGTTATGTAAAACTACTCATTCACTAATTGATCAATGATAAATTTCCATAGATTAACATTTTATGGAAAGAATTTAACATTCTCTGTTTGAAGAATTTTAGGGCACTCAGTACAAATGCTCAGAATTATAGTGAAAATAATTTTATTTTAAAGACTTTTCAAAGCAAATATGGATGAATGTGGTTGTTTGTGGTTAATTTGATTAACCATTATATCATGCAATTAGTGAATGGTTATCCTTTCCCTTTTGTATCCACAGAAAGATGACCAACAGAGTGCTGCATGAATGAGTGTTCTTTGAGAGTTTTACATTGAATGTGTATTTTGATAATCCATTGCATGCTTCATTAAAAGCCTTAAAATGAATACTTTGGGCCTGGCTCACATTGGATCTTGATCAGATCAGATTTGTCTGACCATGGTATTGAAAGATCTCTGGTAATTTATTCCAACCAAAATGCAACGTCTGCTTAACGTTGAAGTCTTGATGTTACATTGACATTAAAGAGGAATGAAACTGACAAAGATAATGTTAGTTACATATTTTTATTTTTGACGTTCATTTTTATTGCTAAAATAAGTCAAGTGTAAAATAAACAAACATTTCGGAGAAATCACTCAAGAATGATTAACATGAATTATAAAAAGAGACTTGATAGAATTTAATAGATTCAATTAAACTAGATTTGAATGAACTGAAATGCCTCTGTGCAGTCAGATATACTCCGGACGCACAGCAAATCTAAAACTGTAGTCATCCGGACAGGGGTTAGGCAGGCCCATACTGCTGTTGGTTGGAATCACTGCCATGTCATTTTTGAATTCTTGAACATGAAAGACATTGTTTTGATTTTTACAGGTGAGAATCAACCTGTTGTTGAAGCGAATGGTGTTAGTGTAACTGTTCTGATTACCACTTGCGAGGAACCTCGCAACAGGAAAAGATTTACATGAAACACCATTGTTGGCGCATTCCTGAGCATTACGAAAAACCTGTGCTTGCCACTGGACCGTCTGACCTTTGTAAAGAGCACTAGGATGTACAGGAGTGGAGAAGGAAGGAACTTGGATTCTGATCATGTTGCCATACCTGTCATATCCATAGTTGTTGTAGGGCTGGTAATTGATTGTTGGGGTTGTGTTATTGATTAATGTACTCCACTCTTTAGCAGTGTAGATTCTGGGCAGATAATCATTACTCATGTCATCCATTTTATTCCTGATCTTAGAGAAAGGCAGAGCATTGAACTGAAAACCTCTGAGCAGACCAGTTAGGTACAGTTTGTCATTATTCTGATGGAGAACACTTGAGGAAAATTGTATTTCATACAGCTTATCCACTGGGATCAGGAGGAAGCGGATGTGATTCAGGAGGCTGGCCTGTTGTTCTGAACTAACTTTATCACTTTTGTCTTGGATCCATCTCTCCAAAGCTTCAAGAAGGAAAGCTTCATCCTTCACAACCAGGTCTGAGCGCTGCAGCAGAGCGTCCATCATGTGCAAGGTTATGGTGCTCCACAGCGGAGAGCTTATGAGGAACTCACAGTTCCAGGAAAGATACTGAAGGACATTCTCCTGCAGAACAAGGTCACCTGTGCGGACGCCATACTCGTACATTGATACCTGTGTCCGGAAGGTGTTGTCTTCAGGAAGAAGTGAAGTGAAGACCCTGCCAACATCCTCCATAAGCGTCTTCACTCCGAAGATAAATGACAGCTGATGGAGACATTGAGCCGATGTGATGGAAACATCAATCTGACGTGTGTACAAATACCTGGGCAAAAACAGTTCAGACACTGTAAGCATCTATCACCCATAATATATTCAGTAGATTTATGATATGCACACAGCAAAATCCCCAGTGTTAAATTAACACTGCTCAGTGTTTATATGAGTCCACACTCAGAGTTATGAGTAACACTGAAGCAGTGTTAAAGTTAATGAGATAATTAAGTGATTAGTTGAGTGATGATTGAGCATTATTGAAGACACCTGATGATAACAAGCAGAATCACTGAAGGAGGAAATCACAAAGTTTAAGTCACCATTATGATGATCAGTGTTTGATTTAGTTGGGCTATTGAACCTTACATATTTAACTTCAGATTTTGTTTGGCTGCTGTACCTGAGTTATAACAGCCAGATGAACAAAGAGAAAAGGTGATCCGATGGTGTTGGTTGTTTTAACATAATCATTTTTTGACCTGAACTTCTGAGTTCGGTTTGCTGTATTGATTAAAGCAGCACTGTCCTTGTACAGCATAATATTTTTCTAAGTTTTTCTCCCCCCAAAAAAATCTAAGTTTTTGTATCAGAACCACTTTTAAGAAATCATTTGGATTACATTGAAAATGCCCCCCAAAAAAAAAAAATGCTGTACAAGGATAGTGCTGCTATAATCAATAAAGTAAACCTAACTCAGAAATTAGGCTCTAAATTAGTTCAGTGTTTCAGGTCAAAAAAATATTATGTTAAAACTAGGGCTGTCAAATGATTAATCACATCCAAAATAAAAGTTTTTTTTTACATAATATATGTGGGTGCACTGTGTATAATTATTTTGTATATATATATATATAAATACACACACATGCATGTATATTTAAGAAAAAAATATTATTTATATATAAAATATTTATATTTATATATAATATAAATTATATATAAATCTATGTATAGTATATACATGAAAATATTTCTTAAATATATACAAGCATGTGTGTGTATTTATATATATATAATATATACACAGTGCACCCACATATATTATGTAAAAAAAACTTTTATTTTGGATGTGATTAATCACGATTAATCATTTGACAGCCCTAGTTAAAACACAACCAACACCATCAGATCACATTTTCTCTTTGTTTATCTGGCTGTTACAGCAGCCAAACAAAATAAAGAAAATACTAAAAATAAAAAATGTAAGGTTTAAGAGTCCAACTAAAGCAAACACTGATCACCATAACGGTGATTTAAAATGTGTGCTTTTCTGCTTCAGTGATTCTGCTTGTTAACATCAGGTGTCTTCAATAATGCTCAATCATCACTCAATCAATCACTTAACTATATCACTAACTTCCACACTGCTTCAGTGTTACTTATAACATAAACTCATATAAACACTGAGTAGTGTTAATTTAACACTGGGGATTTTGCTGTGCTCTATTCAAAGCAACATTCTCCATGAATTGAGACAATTTGATTGAGCTACGAATTAAAGTGATCTTAATAAATGTACCTGAGAAAAGCAGAGATATGAGGGTGGCACGTCTGGCTGACATCCAGTGTGAGGTTCCTGGACTCATTTGTTATGTTTAGTTCTGGATAAATCATGAGGATCAAACGGTGCACACAAAACGCCAACTCTGCCTCTTCACTGAGGTCTTGTACATTAATGATGAAATCACAACCATCTTCACTGTCAAACAGAAGACCAAGATCATCAGACAAACCCAGACTGTTATCCACAGAGAACTGACGATTGCTGGTTATGTTTTTACCTGCAAAGAAAATATAATAAAAGAGATTGAAACAATAGAAATAATAGAAATACAAGTGGACAACTAAAGATATATCTAGTAGTTGAATTTATTACCAGTATCGCAGGTCACTCCTGCATCTTCTTTATGTGTGCAGTCACTAACACCCCAGCCTTTGAAGCTGCAACCAGACAATGAGCTTTCTGAACCTTTACAGTTCATGTCATCCAGCCAGACTGGACCAGAGCCTTGAAAAATCAATAGAATTGTGGTTTAAAAAATTAGACAATTATTGTTATGATAATGTGTAACAATAAAATGGACTGAGGATCATATACCTTCCCCATATTGTCCTCCAGACGTAGCTGATACGGCTCCAGGGAAACCCATCTGACGACACACCACTTGTGCTTCAGCCA